AAACAAAACAATAGAAAAGAAAGTGTACGACCTGTATTTAGAACAGTGAAGTCGGGAAAGTGGATGTGGTAGCGAGGGACGCCTGGAACAGAAGAAGCTGGCTGTGGAGAGGAATGCACAAAAGAGAATGTGGATGTGGAGAAAAATGTCTGGAAGAGAAGATGGATGTTGTGGTGAGAGATGCCTGGAAGGAATGCGGTGTAGGCCGTGTTCCAGATAGTGGAGAGTTCCTAGAGGGGTGAAGGGTGTAGGGTGCGGCTGGCGACGGCAGGTCCTCCCCCGTGCGGCCAGATTGGTAACTCCACCGATAACAGCACCGTTTGTAATTAATTGGCAGCGACCGTCGCATTCTAACGACCGCCTCACTAAAGCGGCGGCGTTGTCGGCCCAAGGAGAACCTACGTGACCCGACTGTCTGATGATGGTGCTGCTGCCGAGCACTGCCCGGCCTCCACTTTGTTTGTTGGCTGGTGGTCACTGTCCGACCTCCACTTTGTTTGTTGGCTGGTGGTCACTGCCCGGCCTCCACTTTGTTTGTTGGCTGGTGGTCACTGCCCGGCCTCCACTTTGTTTGTTTGTTTGTTGGCTGGTGGTCACTGCCCGGCCTCCACTTTGTTTGTTGGCTGGTGGTCACTGCTAATGGTCGGTGGCAGGGCTGTAGCGGGGTTGGCTTATGTTGCATCACTTTGTTGTGGTTGATAATGACTGTGTAGAAAGGAAGAGTTGTTACAAGAGGATGTTGTAAATATTGGGAGGAGATGTGTGTGTGTTTAGAATCCTAAAGACGCTGATTCCTATGACTACAGCAAGTTCGAACCAAATACGTTATATTTATGTGCTCCTGACAGTGATTTTGTGTTTTTTAATGATTACAGTTTGTAATTACTCCTCATATAGGACCAAGAGCTGTATGCTACATATAAGAGCAACTCTGAATAGCTGTTAGGGAGTTTATACTAAATGCCGGCTTTACTGCAAGTTATTTATGTTACATAAAGAGACTGGAGGCTCTTAGAAAGCACACGGAAATATCATTCCTGATGGTGCATTGGCAATACTGGTAATTAGTATTGATGCAATTATTTTTATTACCCTTTAATATTAATATAGCCCTTGTTGTTGTGACTGTTATGATTTATTATTATTATCACCATTATTATTACTATTATCATGATTATTATCATTACGTGTGCTTGCGCATGCGTGCACTTATTGATGGTCTGCTTTGTAGGCACATTAAAAATATGACATCGGACACAAAAGTTGACATGGGCTGCCACACACATACGGCTCTATTTTTCTTTTTATTCCAACCTTTTCATTCTCGTTAATGATGTACAGATCGAGGAGATCCCCGTGTAACAACACCACTCTACCATAATCTATTGATGGTGAATTTGTATTACATAAAACGACCGTTGCAACAACACCGGAAAGCAGCAACATTGATAATAACAGTAACTATAACAACAAAAACAGCAATAATCAACAACAGAAGCAGCAACAAACACAACTACAGTAACAATGATAAACAAAACACCACAAGCAGCAATAAAAACAACCACAGTAACAACATGAACTAACAACAACAGTAACAGTAACAACAACAAAAGTAGCATTAACAAAAACAACAAAAGTAACAGAAACAACAACAAGCAGAAACAATAATAGAAACAATAGTATCATCAATAACAACAGTACACCTGCAGCAACTACAACAAAAACAATAGTAACAACAATAACACAAGAAAATTTATCAGAATCTACAACTAAGGAATTACCAACAACAAGAACAAACAGGACAACATCGACAACAATAACAAACACACCAGTTAAGACTACAACAAGAACAAAAACAACAACAACAAAAACAACAACAACAATATCAACACCAATATAAAAAAAAATAAAAAAAAGAGAAACCGATAATAAAGAATTGAAGGAACAACAGAACAAAAATAATGAATGCAACCAGTAACAGTATCAGTAACAACATCAGTAACAGTATCAGTAACAATACCAGTAACAGCATCAAACAACACCAGTATCAGTAACAACACTAATAACAATATCAGTAACAACACCAGTAACAGTATCGGTAACAACACTAGTAACAGTATCGGTAACAACACAGTAACAGTATCAGTAACAACACTAATAACAGTATCAGTAACAACACCAGTAACAGTATCAGCAACAACACCAGTAAAAGTATCAGTAACAAAGTAACAGCATCAGTAACAACACCAGTAACCGTATCAGTAACAACAGTAACAACACTAGTAACAGTGTCAGTAACAACAGTAACAACTCTAGTAACAGTATCAGTAACAACACCAGTAACAGCATCAGTAACAACAGCAACAACACTAGTAACAGCATCAGTAACAAAGTAACAGCATCAGTAACAACACCAGTAACCGTATCAGTAACAACAGTAACAACACTAGTAACAGTGTCAGTAACAACAGTAACAACTCTAGTAACAGTATCAGTAACAACACCAGTAACAGCATCAGTAACAACAGCAACAACACTAGTAACAGCATCAGTAACAACACCAGTAACAGGATCGGTAACACTAGTAACAGTATCAGTAACAAAACTAATAACAGTAGCAATAACAACACTAGTAACAGTATCAGTAATAACACTAGCAACAGTATCAGTGACAACCCTTGTAACAGTATCAGTAACAACACCAGTAACATTATCAGTAACAACAGTAACAACACTAGTAACAGTATCAGTAACAACACCAGTAACAGTATCAGTAACAACACTAGTAACACTATCAGTACAACACCAGTAACAGTATCAGTAACAACACTACTAACAGTATCAGGAACAACACCAGTAACAGTATCAGTAACAAAACCAGTAACAGTATCAGGAACAATACTAGTAAGAGTATCAGTAACAACACTAGTAACAGAATCAGAAACAACACCAGTAACAGTATCAGTAGCAACATTAGTAACAGTATCAGTCACACCACTAGTAACAGTATCGGTAACAACACTAGTAACAGCATCAGTAACAAAACCAGTAACAGTATCAGTAACAACACCAGTAACAGTATCGTTAACAACACTAGTAATAGTATCAGTAACAACACCAGTAACAGTATCAGTAACAACACTAGTAACAGTATCAGTAACATCACCAGTAACAGTATCAGTAACAACACTAGTAACAGTATCAGTAACAACACCAGTAACAGTATCAGTAACAACACCAGTAACGGCATCAGTAACAACACCAGTAACGGTATCAGTAACAACACTAGTAACAGTATCAGTAACAATACCAGTAACAGTATCAGTAACAACACTAGTAACAGTATCAGTAGCAATACCAGTAACAGTACCAGTAACAGCACTAGTAACAGTATCAGTAACAACACCAGTAACAGTATCAGTAACAACACCAGTAACAGTATCGGTAACAACACCAGTAACAGTGTCAGTAACAACACTAGTAACAGTATCAACAACAACACTAGTAACAGTATCAGTAACAACACCAGTAACAGTATCAGTAACAACACTCGTAACAGTATCAGTAACAGCACTAGTAACAGTATCAGTAACAACACAAGTAATAGTATCAGTAACAACACCAGTAACAGTATCAGTAACAACACCAGTAACAGTATCAGTAACAACACTAGTAATAGTATCAGTAACAACACTAGTAACAGTATCAGTAACAACACCAGTAACAGTATCGGTAACAACGCTAGTAACAGTATCAGTAACAACACTAGTAACTGTATCAGTAACAACAGTAAAAGTATCAGTAACAACACTAGTAACAGTATTAGTAACAACACCAGTAACAGTATCAGTAACAACACCAGTAACAGTATCAGTGACAACACCAGTAACAGTATCAGTAACAACACTAGTTACAGTATCAGTAACAACACCAGTAATAGTATCAGTAACAACACCAGTAACAGTATCAGTAACAACACTAGTAACAGTATCAGTAACAACACTAGTAACAGTATCAGTAACAACACCAGTAACAGTATCAGTAACAACACCAGTAACAGTATCAGTAACAACACCAGTAACAGTATCAGTAACAACACCAGTAACAGTATCAGTAACAACACCAGTAACAGTATCAGTAACAACACTAGTAACAGTATCAGTAACAACACTAGTAACAGTATCAGTAACAACACTAGTAACAGTATCAGTAACAACACCAGTAACAGTATCAGTAACAACACCAGTAACAGTATCAGTAACAACACCAGTAACAGTATCAGTAACAACACCAGTAACAGTATTAGTGACAACACATTAAGAACAGTTACAACAACAAACATCAACAGCTACAACAACCACAGTAACAAAAACAACAGTAACAACATCAATAGCTACAACAGTTTCAACAACAACACCAGTATCAACAACAAGAACAACAGCATTAGTATCAACAACAAGAACAACAGCATCAGTATCAACAACAAGAACAACAGCATCAGTATCAACAACAACAACACCAGTATCAACAAAAACAACAACAACAACAACAACAGTAACAAAAACAACAGTAAGGGAGGATGACCGAGCCTAAGATGAAAGCACTAACTGGTCACAAAGACATTGTTACTTCTGCTCCTGTTCCTGATAACTATTGTTGCCTTAAAGGAACTGTTTTTATGGTATTATATCCTTGTTTAATTGACTTGAGTTGATATATGTAATATTTTATTTATTTTTATTATTGAATATGTATTTTATTTCTTTTGTTTTATTATATATATACTTTTTTTCTTATATTAGGACTGTTATTAATGCCGAGAGAGAGAGAGAGAGAGAGAGAGAGAGAGAGAGAGAGAGAGAGAGAGTTAAACTTAGTTTTATTTTAACAAAGAGAATCCGAGTTGTTTCATTATCAGTTATCAAGTTTACAGAGAAATTAAGTGACCTTTTTCCTTCGTAATCCTGTATTTCAAAAAGTTAACTGCACACAGTTTATGCATGTTAGTCCAGAGTATTGAAGTCAACGGCTCAAATGTTACCATTATCCCGTGTTGCCTCCGTGTAAAGCAGATCACGATGACACCACCTCAGCTAGACGGTACACTTGGTACTTTTAGATCATTTGCTTAGTAACCTGATGAGCCGGTAGCAAGAGAGTGGGGAAGATAGGGAGTATGAAATGGGGTCAGTAGTCTTACTGTTAGGGGAGGGGGGGGGGATTCCTGGGGAGGGGTTGATTGCTTCAGAAGGTGTTAGGGGGAAGGTGTCCACGTCGTGATTGTGATGAGCAATAACTTCCTATTATTGTTGAAAACGTCAGGGGTTGTGATGACGGCGGGTGGCAAAGTTCTCCGAGGTTGTTTTGATTGGGGTGAGATCTGGCGCGCGTGTTTACCATCATAATTTGTTGCTTTTTACGATTATACTGCCATTTTTAGTGATGGTTCATGGTAATGCCCTTATGGTGGCCGAGCGGGGAGTTTACTTGAATAGATAGCTTGTGGTTGTGAAGATACGTTAGGTTGTGGCGGCGAGACGCAGTCGAGTTGATGGTAGTTGTGGTGTAGACAGCGGCAGTGTGGTGGCGCCAGCGGTGTATTGCAGCTGCAGTGCCCGCTGACCCAACCTTGCAACAGTCCACGCCCACTCCATGCCCCGGCCCCTCCCCTGCACCTGACTCGGCCTCTCATTGGTCCACTCGGGGTATCCATAAACCCAATTGGCTGTCAGTTAGCATCCATAAATCTGATTGGTTGGCAGCACCCCCACAGGCCCGAGCAACAAGGTGCAGCCTGGCCACACTTGCCGAGGTTCTGGAGCATACAGCCGGTCGTCCCTGTCTGCTCCTGCCCACCCGCACTGCTCCAATACACTATGATTAGATACCTGGCTAGGATTCTTGTGGTGATAGAGGTGTAAACTTACATAGTCTTGGCGGATATAGATAATCGATATCCTCAAATAAGAGTTGGACCTTCTATTTATAATCTTCGAAGTAGGAGGAACGTCGTCACATTTGTCGATGTGATTGAGACTAGCCTGTGTTACGTAAACCTCGTCCGTGGTTCAGGTGTTCAGGCCAAAGCTCTGTACAGGCTCGTTAGCATTAGGACTTACCATGTCTTGGAGAGAATCTATCTGCCAGTCACTACTGAGGTAAATTTGTCCGTTCAAGGAGACAGCATTTAAGTAATCCTTCCCATTTACACAATATATTGCCAACCTTAACGCAGTAAGATCAGTCTAGGACAAAGGCTCAGTGTTGCTGGCATGAAAACACACAGTAATCAAATACAAATTACACGATGAGCACTGCTGATGACAAACACTGCTACTCATAAACATGTAAATCTTTTTTTTTTTTTTTTTAATTTGGAAACATTAAAAAAATTGGTTGTCGTATGATTGTATCTCGGCCGCTACCTGTGTGTGGACCCAAGCACGGCCAGCCAGTTTTAGCTTCCATCTTGCGTAATAATATGTTGTTGTCAATACACATGGTGCCGGAGACTGGGGGGTAGAATACACAACTACTTTGTCTTTTTGTGTCTTGTTTTATTAATTATATATGTGAGAAGTATAATGTTTTCTTAATATTCCTGTATTGTCACCAAGGGAGGAACATGTAAAGAGATACAATAATGTTATAACCTTCCATGTACGTATTACTGTTGACGATGAAACTTGATAAAAGGCAAAACTGGTGTATGTCTGTGTGCTTTTTGCTCACCAACTTTGTTTACAAATTATACAAATTTGATTGTGTTTAAGTAAAGATGTAGATAAATCATAACATTACTATAAACGAATAATATCTTTACTAACTAGTGTAACTTGACCTTAACATTAGGTGTCGTTAGGTTGCGTTATGATAATAAACGACGCCTTAAATAAAGCAAATTTTACCACATATGAATTAATCTCCAATAAGTTATTGGTTTAATCGGGCGATTATCCCTATTTAGTGACACACACACACACACACACACACACACACACACACACATGTATTTAAATTGTTTGACATTCCTGTTTTAATTACTCACTTGTTTAGAATTGCTTGAGGGAGCTGTAATAATAATAATAATAATAATAATAATTTCATGTGTTTCTTTCGTTCAATTTTCGCTAACCTCGTGTCTCTCTCCCCACAGGTAAGAAGAGCCCCGCTGGTCTACACTCTCGCCTCTTTCACGAGTTCGAAGGTAGGGGTCAACTAATTACCATTGCCTGCCCTGTCTTGTTGTTGTGGTACTTGTGTTACTGTGGTAGTAGGCCCTGGGGTGGTTGTTGACGGCCTGTTTGATCTGAGGGGCCTGGTACTCACATCTTAAAACTACTGCCAGTGATTTATTGTGTGGATAGTGGGGCAGTAGTGTGTGTGTGTGTGTGGGGGAGTATTGCTAGTTTAGGAGTCCGGTAATAGTAGTTTTGCTTGGTACTTGTAGCTGTATCTGGTACTATTAGTTCTGATACTAGTAACTGTTTGATACAAGTTCTAAAATCACCATACCAATGTCACGAGTTGATAGAATTGTCATTTGCTAGTTCAGTTGCTGTAGTATTTTATTGGTAGTAGCTGTCGAAGTTGTCGCCTTGACCGGGCTGTTAGATCTGTCATTGGCTCTCTTGTTGTCTTTGTCACCTGTCAGATTAGTGGTGTTGCCTGTGACGATAACGATCATAACGCATTTATCTTCAGTTTAACGCGATTTATTGTGAGTTTTCTTTCTTTTGTAGCTCCTTTGAGTGATATATATATATATATATATATATATATATATATATATATATATATATATATATATATATATATATATATATATATATATATATATATATATATAGTTTGGCTTCCATAACTGTAGACATTGGTATATGGTAAATGCATATGGTTGTGCCTCTGTATGACGCATGTTCAAAGGAATGAATTTAGATACCTGTATAGAGGACTGTGTATGACTGCCTGTCGGGTCATGTTTTCAATATAGAAATACATTATTGTTTCATTATAATTAATTTCTTGAGAACAATTTCTGATCTCTGTGACGCATGACGTGTTACTTTTTAACATAGGTTTGCATCATGTGTCGTTTCTTTCCCATTGTTTTCTCCCATAAACTTGCCAGTATAGGAGCCTCGTCAGCCTGGTGGACAATCTCCATGAAGTCTCCAAATTGTAAGGAGGAATAGACACCGTTTGTTTCTGCCAGAACCACAACTGCAAATTTTCATTCATTGGTGGAAAGAGATGTTGTGTATAATCACAATTCGCAGGTAAAGGTTTTGTGGCATGAAAGAGGATATGATAGTATCCCAGAGGACAAAATATTTTAGAGATAGTGAAGGGCATCAGATAAAATTAAAGAAAGTGCTTTGCAGAGACATGCACTGAACAAAAGGTTTCTGAATGCATACAGTGGGTTGAAATAACAAAATAAAGGGATTTCTATGTCATGATAGTGACTTGGATGTTACCCAAACTTGTCGACCAAAAGCTAAACAACTTCATTTTTGCTTTTATTCTACTCGAAAAAATATTGAAATCTAATAGCAATAACTTGTGTTGAATAACTACGTGTCGAGGAAGAGCTGAGAGTATATTGTCGCTGCGGTTGATTTGAACTATGAGAATACGTGTCACTCTAATACAAAGTGTTGGATAAAGTTTGTATCAGGAATATGAACGCCAGGATGACGTCTTGCACTCACCGTGATAAACACCTGTGTCATAATTCAACTCAAGTTCTCAAGTTTTATTTCGTATTACTGTTGATATTTGCCTTGACCATGAAACCATTAATAAATGTTTTGTTCTCATAGCAAACTTTCAGTATAACAACCGTGTAAAAATAAACACGTGTGAACAAAATACTCGGGCGTGCTACCTGCGGCGTGACGTCATCAAGGTACTGAAGATCATTTAACCTTGAGACTCACAGTAATTAGCGAGGGTGATTATTTTACTTCAGTATAGTATAGGGTTAAAATTTTATATCAATTATGTATGGTATAATTTATATGGAAATCAAACACTAAAACACTACGGTACACGTTAGATTAAAAAAAAAAAAAATATATATATATATATATATATATATATATATATATATATATGTGTGTATATATATATATATATATATATATATATATATATATATATATATATATATATATATATATATATATATATATATATATATATATATATATATATATATATATATATATATATATATATTGTAATGTTGTATTGGCCTTGCAGTAGTTGAAGGTTAATACACAGCTGGTCAGTCACTAGATCCCCCGCACAACATTCTTATATTTTCTTAAGACTTGTATTTCTCCCGGAGATTAATTACTATGATTGTTAGCATTAGTCAATTAATCTTTCTTAATTAAGGTCATTTTGGTACGATTATCTTGGACAATTAGAGGTTGAAATCATGAAAATATTAGTTTTTTTTAACAAATGTGGCAGTGGAATCTTCTCTCTGTTCCCATCTTCACTGACGTCTGCTGAGAACTGGTCGAATCTGCAAGTTTTTACATCAGAAGTTGAGTTAACATCAAGAAAAAGTGGTTGTGATAGGTCATGTTTTGTTGTGAAAGCATCATTAACCTCTTCACTACGGGGTTAACGCCAGACGATTTTATTAAACTCAGAGGTGACTCCCGTACACAAGGTGTTAATATGAGATATGAAACATGTAAACGTCACTTAAATCTTTGTTTACGGGGGTCCCTCTGAGCTGAATAAAATCGTCTGGCGTTAACCAAATAAAATATTAAAAGTGGAGTCCCCGTTTATTCCTCTGGGTTGTTCTTTAAAGGAAGGACAGAGAGTTTATGTGTTGCACCAAAGTACAGAAGATGATGTATTTTTCCTGCAGTTTCTCATGTTACAGGAAACAGACTCACACACGAAGCATATATCAGGTGGTGATGTAGACATGTTGAAGGGTTAAGTTGCAAACTATTTTATATATAATACACTGTATCGGTGGCGGTGTTGCAAAGTTGTAAGTGATATCACCAAATATACAGACCATGTTATTGCGGACATAATATATATTGGAAGTAATGCTGCAAACAATACTTGAGATGTTGCAGACAATACATATTGACGGTACTGTAGTAAGAATCGACATAAAACACGGTATTGAAGGCGATATTGGGAGTGATATGGGAGACGTTACCAAAAGTCAATAACAAAAGGGATAGTATAGAGTGATATTGACTACGATACTGAAGGTGATATATCAGACGATAGCTGTGGTGATAGTGATGTGGATAGTGAAAGATATCGGAGGTGTTGATAATATTAATATCTGAAAGGATAATGAAAGGATATTTTAGACAGCAGGTGAGGACGATACTGGAGGTCTGTACGGAGGCTCAAGGTTTTCTGGTGACGATTTTGACTGTCCTTGAGATGAGAACCTCCTGTGTTGAAGACGAGGGTGAGGTAGGAGATTAAACTGCTAACAAGAATGTATTGAAGAAAGTGATGTACTAATGTTGGTCTACAAGGGAGAATATGAAACAAAATATGTGTAATTAGCTGTTATGATAGCTATGTCATCTACACAATCTTGAAGGATATAATTTTACGAGTATTACTAGTAACAGACAACGTGGGCATCGAAAAATGAGGGAATTTATATAATTTCTCTCGTGCTAATATAAAGCTTTTGAAGTTAGGTTTTTTTTCTCAGTCATAATGCTAAAGCTGCCATTTATCGCTGTTGTAAGGTAAAAATACACAACTTACTTATAAGACCTCGAATACCGGTGTGTGTCTGAGACCCAAATTGAAAATGGACCCCATAGGCCCGTTAGGGCAGTGAGGATACAGCACACTGTACACTAAGGCTACTTTGCACAAGAAGGCCATTTACATTCTTCAATTGAAAAATTCGGGGACTCATTCACAGTTAGGTGAACTGGGGATGTCTCGGACGCGAACCAATGACCCTTGGGACAGTAGGCGAGCACTGTAACCACTCGGCCGATTATAGATATACTACACTGCCCGCAGCAGAGAACCGGGCTAGCTGGGGGTAAAGACAGACCCCTCAAGCCAGCGCCAGGTAAATACTGTACCAGGTAAACGACCGCAAGATGTAGAGGCCAGACTGTAGTAGTTGTGTCCGTAGAGTTTCGTGGGTCGAGGCGACATGGGTGGGGGACTGCGAGGATACGGCTTGTTGAAGGTGCTTGTTTCTTGTTCTGTAAACTTCACTGTTAAAGTTTATGTGCTTTAATAGAATAGTTTTATCATCCTTTCTCTACCATTATAATGACGAGATGTGGACTCTAGTATTTACATCTCTACTTGGAATCTTTTGCATTAATGACCTCAAAAGGTACAACCTATTTCAATGAAGACGATGATACTGCCTCTGTGTTCATGATATTATATATTTATTTCACTTATACATAGGTGTAGGAAGCATTGATTATACAGCACTAGAGCTATAACAACATATTAACCGGATATAATGAAGAAGAAACGTATTTATCCTTGATTGGTAGTTTGTTTATTAACTTTGGGTTGGATAACAAAGCGTAATGAGATATGTACATTGACTTAGACAACACAGGGTATATTAACACTTAGGCTGCAGTATTAAACATGAAAAATTCTAATTCAATATCTCGTGTTGCTGTTTGTCTCATTGAAATGGTTTACCATGAAGTGTGTGTGTGTGTGTGTGTGTGTGTGTGTGTGTGTGTGTGTGTGTGTGTGTGTGTGTGTGTGTGTTTTCATGGGTCAGTAGCAGGAGCCGAGACGAGCAGGACTCATAATGCTCGGATAATGTGGTAGAAGCATAATAATTACTACTCACCCCGCCTCCCCCGCCACGAACACCCCGTGTTAGAGACTCACCCCTGAGTTATAGTCACATTACGGCAAAATCTGTGTGCTGTTGGTAGTGCAAAATTATTAAAATCTAATGATAAATGCGCGTAAATTTGCATGTATTGGCATTTCCAATTGGAATTAAGACGCATACTGGAGATATTCTCGCTGATTAACGACTTAAAAGTTAATACGTTTTATTTCAGTGCATATATGTATTCTTAAATTAATACTGACACTTATGTATCATTAACTGAACTTCGGGATACTGGATTTGTATTCTCTTTCAGGACACATATGAACGGTTTATATATGATAGCGCCTATGTAAACTTTAACA